GCTGGTCTTATCTCTCCTTGGGTCTTATGGTCTGTCCATGTAGTCTTTTCCTATGCGCTAATTAGGACCTCCCACAATGTGACAGCCTCACAACAGCAGACTGTTTACAAGGCAGCATAGAGTTGAAGGGCAAGAGCTTCAGACAAGCAAGATAAAAGCTGCATTTAATTTTTCTGACCCAGTCTTCTAGTAATTTTTGGAAAGTACTACCAGGCACAAGAATAAACAAATACATAACCAAGGATACCTGAGCTGTGATCCCAATGCTGCTCCGGGGACTTAACTTGCTCCTGTGACTTGACTTGATGTTCATTTCTTTCCTGTAATGTCTTCTCCAGTTCTGTAACACAATTCACTATAGACCATGGCTTTGTTTAGTTCAATATCAAGTAGAGTAAGGTCTTTCAACCAGTTAATTGTTTTTCATAGTTGCCATTTTTTCCTGGACCCTGAGGAAGTTGAGAGAATCTGCTATATTAGTGGGCCCATGTCAGAGCCCAAATTATTTACTCCTTTAGTACTCTTTTAGTCTTAAATTAAGTCTGTATGATTCATTTATAAAGCATTCTAGAACAAGAGGATTAGTCTTTAGTTATAAACATAGCAATCCCCCCCCCCCCAGGTTTCAAAGGATGTAGAGAAGATGGGAAAGTTTCATGGGAAAGGGCATGAAGGGAATTTTGTTGTTGATGGAAAAACTGTTAAGTATGGATAGGGTAAGGACTACCCACACATATACACATATGTATACATGTATGTATACACATATATAATTATTCCTTAGTAGTGCTAATTTTAAGAAGAAGAGGCCAGTTATAAATCCTTTCCTCATAGGAGGGTTCTAGCTCCTGAATGTATCTGTCTACTCTTCCCTCTGATATCCATGAAACATACAGTTAACAAAGTATTTGGTAGGATGCAAGAGGTAATGAATCTTATGTTATTTGCATTATCAGCACCTAGCCTAATCCCTTAATAAAGACAAACACTTAATAAAATTAATTGTTAAGTAGAAACAAGATGTCCAAGGGACTCTGTAGACAACAAAGGGTACCCAACCCAATTCTAGAAAGTATCAGAAAAGGCTAGAATAAATTACAATAGTGGTTATTAACTAAGTATAAAAATGCAACTTTAAAATAAAAAAATTCAATCCCACACATGAAATTAGTTATATTTTCAGTAATTTTTGATTAAGAAATAGCTCCAGGGTCCTTCCTGGTGGTACAACAGGTTAAAGCACAGCACTATGAAGCCGTCCACAGCCATTTTAGCACCAGTTCAATTCCTGGCCAGGGAGGTGACCCACATGGTTCAGCAGACCTCTCCTGTCTTGCCCACTGCTCCCCTAAGCAGTGTACTTCGTCAGTCTGACTGTCCTGCTCCCCACTCTGTCTCTGGTGCATCCTCTCAGTGACCCTGCACCTCTGGCCTGTACCCCAGTTCTGTATGCATAAATAAATATTTTTAAAAAAGAGCTCCAAATCTATCATTAACTCAACAATTTAAAACAAAATCCCATTTTACTAACTACAGCATCTAGATAAATATTTTAAAGAGCCCTCCCATTTGTGGATTCCACCATTTAATGTAAAGACAATGCCTGGTTCCTGGTGAACTTCATATAACAGCTTGTCCATAGATTGAGAACCATTCTCAATATTTATTTCTGGGTACCTTCCCTGGTTATAACAGACATTTCAAAATCTCTCCTTTAAATGATTTCTACTAATAATTTTCTTTTTTCTTTAGCACCTTTTTATCATTCTACAATTTATTTCCATCGAGTGTATTCAAGTTTTAATCTGATACCTTTCCTTTGGCTTGAACTTCCTTTTACTTTTCTTATAATGCAAAGGCTTGTGGCAATTAATTTTTTTTAAGACTGTATTTATTTTTGTGTAGAAGAACTGGGGTATAGGCCAGAGGTGGCGGAGGGCGGGGGGCAGGGGTTGCTTAAGATCATTCACCAGAGACAGCATTGGGAGCAGACCAGGCAGATCTACTGAAATACACTGTCGAGGGGAGCAGTGGGTAAAAAAGGAGAGGTCAGCTCCTTGAACAAGGATCAAACTCTGGCATTCGTAGTAGTATTTGTAGTAGTAGCACTGAGACTTAATCCCTGGTTACCAGGAAGGCACCCAATGTGGCAATTAATTCTAATCTTTTTTTTTTTTTTTGGCTGAAGAAGTATTTCACCTTTGGTTTTGAAGAATATTATTTGCTAAAATTTAGACTTCTGTATGGACTGATATTTTCTTTCACTGGAGATGCTCTATGTTACCTCATTTATCCTATGATTTGTATAGTTCCGATCAGCCTACAGTATAGTTTGTAGTATAAGTCAGCAGTGATTCTTTGTTTCTCTAAAGGAGAGGTTTCTCTGTATGTTTACAAGCCTTTTTCTTTATAACTGTCATAAAATCTGGAAAAATATTGGCCACTTACATATATTTTCAGCTTCCTCTTATCTTCTCCTCCCCCATCTCTAATTATTATAAATGCATTTTAGTATGTTAGTTGAGTGTTCATTTTGATTTAGTTCTTGTATTTTGCTCTGTGATTCTTTTTGTGTAGCTTCTATTGCTATTTCTTCAAGTTGGCTGATACTTTCTTCTGGAGTGTCTTCTCTGTAAAGACACTGAGTGAAATTTTTTATTTCAGATGATGTCTTATCAAGACTTCCTATTTGATTCTATTCTTATATCTTACATTGACTCCTCATTAAGTTTACATCTTTGAACTGTTATACTATTCTATTAGAAATGTCAAGATCCTTATTAACTAATTCCAACATCTCTGTCATTCTGGATTTTTCTATTAACTTTTCTGTTGGATATATAAGTTCATTATTCTTCATATGGCTAGAATTTTTGATTGCTTGTTGAACACTGAAAAGCACTAGATTTTGTTGCCTTCCTTTTAAAATGTTGGAACTGTTTGTTAGGTAGAGTTTTTAATAGCTTGTTATCTCCTGGTTTTATGTTAAACATTGTTCAAATCCAGAGAAACCTTTACTCTAGGACTAATTTAGCACTACTACTAATGTCTAGTCTGAGGTTTGCAATGAATGCACCAAGTATTCAGTTTGTTTGGCAAGAAAAGTTTATGATTTCCAGCCTTTTGTGAGAAACTATTTCCCTTTTAAAGATTTCTTTAAAATATAATATATTGTTTACATAAATAATGTATTGTGTGATTTGCAGCATATACAGATGAAAACTATGCATTAATGTAGTGATAGCACAATGACAAGAAAGAAAAGAAATGTAAGACTCTAAGGTAAAAGTATGGGCTCTAAGGTTCTTAAAGTCTATATGAAATGGTTTTATTTACTAGGGTAAGTTTAATATGCACATCATAAATCCCACTGAAGTCACTAAAACAAAGAATAAGTTAAGACTATGGAATAGCATAAAATGCTAAAACAACCAACCAAAGGCAGATAAAGTGGGTGGAGGGGAGAGGTAGGAAGAACAAATGTGACAAAAAGAAACCAAACAGCAAGATAGTAAATATAAACCCACTGTATCCATTCAAAACATTCCAATTAAAAAACAGAAAAAAAAAGGTACTTGCACATACATTTCAGAGACACTAGGTCAGGTGGTTTTTAAAGTATACAAAAAATACCTCTTCCTCTTTCACAGCCACAACTTCATAAAAGTGATCACAACAAATCAAAGAGCATGGAAAGGAGGCCAGTCTTTGCTGTGCTTGTATCCATAGCTACCCCCTCATCATAGAGGCCCTCCACCCTCCACTTTAAGTTTGCTTGTTCTATACACTCTTACTAGCTACTAACTCCTGATTCACTGTCAACTGGATTATTACCTAGAGTAAAATCTAAAGGAAATCTGAGGAGGAAATAACCTGTTATGAGACCATTTACATCAAACTCAATGGTCACCGCACAACCTGTGAAAGACTGGCTTCTAGGGACTTATAGTTTTGTATGAATCTTCAACATCTGGAGAAGGTATTTGAGTTACCTATGAACACAAACACTATTACAAACATGTAGTGAATTACAAGCATGTAGTGCATTACAAACATGTATATTTAGTGAAAATAGAGGCAAAAATTGCAGCGATGTGGTCACAAGTCAAGGTAAGACAGCAGCCACAAGAAACTCAAAGAGGCAAGAGATTTCCCCTTAAGGCCTCTAGAAGGAGTGTGCCTCTTGGATACCTTCATTTTAGCATAGACACACAGATCTTGCATAACAAACCTCCAGAACTGGAAGTCAATACTAGATTTGTATATCTGAAAGATCACAGGCAGCTGCAGTGTGGTGGGAAATGGGTGAAAAGCAGGGAGACTTTACTGAGCCTTGAGCAGTTTCCAGACGACAGATGATGGATGCTTGCAACATCAATGGCGGTGGAAACCTGAAGACGTGAATGAGCTAGACATGTTTTGCCAGAGAAGCCCAAAGGACCCTGAAGAGCTTCAACACTTCCTTCCCGTTGTAATGGCACGAAATGGCACCAAGATGCTCAAGGCACAAACCGCCAGCAAGTGGCCAGGTTCCCGGACCCAGTGCGACACTCACGCGACTTAATCCCTCCGGGGGTGGAGGGCATGGAACTGGCAGCGTTTCCTAGGCCACACCATTGTCCTGCGCTCCGGAGGGTGGAGCAGTAACTAAGGACAACAGCCGGAAGAGAATTCCGGAAGAGAGGGAGAGTGAGAGGAAGAAAATGGGGTGCACGTGCCACCACCTAGACCACCGAGGATAATTCGACGGCTTCCCTCGAGGAGAGTGTGGAGGGCGGGTGGGGCCGGGGCTGCATCTGTGATTGGCCCGTCGGGGGCCTTAAGGCGCCGCTGATTGGGCGAGGCCAAAACGGAAGCCGGCTTTTGAACCGCGTAGGGTTCTGGGTAGCGCAGGTCCTGCAAGGGTTTTAACCGAAAGGGTGGGGGCGGGGATGGGGCAGTGGGCAACAAACGGCTGAGCTCACAATCCTGGCAGGACCGGGCAGGGCGCCCCCTCCCCCATGGAGAGGGCTCGGCCGGAGCCGCCGTCCCGCCAACTGCCTAGGGCGACCCCTCCGCGCCCTCTGCGCCCTGCGCCGTCCCCTCTGCCCCTCGACGGCCCATTCCGGGTCGCGGCCGCGGAGCCTCCTCCGTCGCCGCCACTCCCGTGCGCGGCCGCCATCGCAACAGTGGCCTCATCTTATGGGGAGGCCCCGGCGTCGGGTGGCCCGGCCACAGCCCGACGGTTATTGCAAGTGAAGCCTGAGCAGGTGCTGCTACTGCCACCGGGGCCGCCCCTGCCGCCAGGCCGGGACGAAGGCGTCGCTGTCTCGCCTGCGCAGGCGCGGCTGCTGTCGCTCAGACCAGAGTTGCTGCTGTTGCCGCCGCCTCCGCCCCCGCTAGCAGCCGACTGCATCCCGGGCCGGCCCGACGCGCACCTGGGGCCGCCGCGGGCACCGCACGTCAAGACCGAGAGGCCAGAACCCGGGCAGGGCCTGGACCCGTCTCTAGGGCTGCGGAGGGCAGTCAGGGGGGCTAAGGTGGACGCTGTCGGGCCGGGCCTCGACTGCCGTCGCGGGGACGAGAAAAAGGGCAAGCTGGAGGCAGAGGCGGCCTTACGGGATGCAGCCAGAGGTGGAAATGGCAAAAGCCTGGCGGTGCTCCGTGACGGCTTCATCAAGACCGAAGAGCCAGAGAGACTCCATGAGGACTGCAGGCTGAGCTCTGACTCCGCAGCCAATGGCCTGGTGCACGGTGGAAAGGAGGTGCTCTTGCCTCAGCCAGCAGGTGCCTTTGGGTCGCCCCAGCAGGACCTCAGAATCCCTTTGACGCTCCACACCGTACCCCCTGGGGCCCGGATCCAGTTCCAGGGGCCTCCACCGTCTGAGCTGATCCGATTGACCAAGGTCCCCTTGACACCAGTGCCTATTAAAATGCAGTCTTTACTGGAGCCTTCTGTAAAAATTGAAACCAAAGATGTCCCGCTCACCGTGCTGCCCTCAGATGCAGGTATTAATGGAGAGGGGAACTTGTTTCAAACCTTGCCTTTGTCACCCCATAGCTGACTTGTCGGTTGTAGAAAATCAGATCACGGAATGGATTCTTCTCAGTGCCCACTCTGCACAGGTAGCACTTCCAAGGGATTCGTGCAAATGCCAGTAAAATACACCCACGGGGTCTATACTCCCCAACATGAAAAATCAGAACCCTAAGGTCCACTAGATGAATGTTTAATAAACACACAAAAACTATTCTTTCCAGATAACACCAAACCTTCAGTTCATAAACATTGTAGCTCAATGCTTTTTACATGTACCAAGACATAGACTGGAAAGTGATGTTTAAAGATAAAATGGTAATAATTAAACAGAAACATTGATACTGAATTTATAGATTTGTCAGATTTGTCTTTTAAAATAGTAAACACTATCTCGAAGAAATCAGTACATGATCAAACATAACACTAGTATTCTTAAAGCTAACTTAAAGAAATAATGGGAAAAAATGCTGTGAGACAAATTAAAGCAATCTTTTTCAAAGACATGGCTATGGTTTCAATAATACCTAGAAATATTCCATTTTCCAAATACAGAGTTAGAAAATTCTTATTTTAAGATGCGATTCTGACAGTACCTTATACCAGTGAATGCTGTACAAACATTATCTTCATTAACTTTTGGTTTTTGCTTGTTCTTCTCTGTTTCTTCCTCACCACACACCCTTTTACTTTGGATTCTGTTCTTAAACTTTGTTTTCATTTTTTAAAGAAAATTGCTTTCTTTACCTACTTCATTCTTTGTGCCTGAACAAAATTTTTATATCTTAAATATCCTTAAAATAAGAGAAGCAATATAAAAAAAGAAAGAATGTAAGAGTTGTTTTTGATGAATTATGTGAGAAATGAGGATTTAGTTGACTTCCTTTATTGTAAAGGAACTGGCTCTGTGACTCTCAAAAGTCTTATTTTTCTCCCAGGATGTGGGGCTCTGTTGATAGCGCACATTGGTAGGAACTTTACCTTCATAATGCAATACTACTAACATAGTATTATAATATTGTAAAACTTTTCTTGAATGGATGGAATAGTGGCATGAAAATGCATCCCTTCAAATAGTGGGATACCTACCTGGGACTAAGATGATACTCATGAGTAGTAATAGTTCCTGACCCTTAATAATAGATCATTTATATGGGCAATAAGCTATGTCTTAATTGTTGTTAGAGACATTAATGAAGCTCAAAGAAGTAATAAGCCAACAGTTTACAATGTCACTTTGTCACTTCCATAATATTTTCAATAATATTCTTTTGAGGAAAAAGAAGAGCCATTCTAAGTTAAAGTTTGGAATGCCAAGTTCAGGGATTACAAGAAGTTCTGGAATACTGGCAGTTCTTTTACTATATTGAAGTGTGTCTTTTCTCCGGATGTTAAAAAATTAAATATAGATGGAGGTACACTTAGCTTGGAAATTGTGTGTGTGTGTGTGTGTGTGTGGCACATTAATTTAGTCTCTCAATTTTTGTCATGTAGGAATACCAGATACTCCCTTCAGTAAGGACAGAAATGGTCATGTGAAGCGACCTATGAATGCATTTATGGTTTGGGCAAGGATCCACCGGCCTGCACTAGCCAAAGCTAACCCAGCAGCCAACAATGCAGAGATCAGTGTCCAGCTCGGGTTAGAGTGGAACAAACTTAGTGAAGAACAAAAGAAACCCTATTATGATGAAGCACAAAAGATTAAAGAAAAACACAGAGAGGAATTTCCTGGTAATCAAATGAAATGCACAAATCCTCTTTCTAATTTTTCTTTATTTAGGTAAAGATTAGGTTGAGCTTGAAAGACAAAAATGTGTAATTATTTTCCTAACCCTGGTGTATACAGTGAAAAGAATAGTGGCTTGCATTATAGTAACAAACTGATACTGGGCTTTAAGGTTCCTTAAGTAGAAGGCTATCTGGGCTCGTATTTGCCTACTAATGCAAACCAGGGGCCATTTGGTTTTATGTAGTTTTAAGTGTAGAGATAAAGCTTAACAAAGTTAAAGCTCTGAAATGGAAATGATTTGGCAAATATAGTAGAAACTAAAGTGTTGAAACCATAGCAACAGAAAAAACATACTTGCATACTTAACAACAGTGAAAATCCAGGAATTAACACCCCTCTATTTTTATATTACATGGTAGCAGAGCATTGTCCTACCTTCTGAGGTATTTTTGTCCTCATTTTGGTAGAGTTGGAAATGAACCTTATTCCTCCTCAGGAATGAGGCTCATTGAGATTACAGTTGGGTAAATGCACAGTTTATGGCCAACATATCCATGCAAAATGGGAAAAGGATTTTTAAAAAAATATATCAGAAATATGTTGGGGTACCAGGGTGGTCAGAGTCAGCAACTACAGGGGATCCGTTATTCTCCTGGTTATACAGTGAGTGGCCACACTTGCCATAACTCCACTCTCCTGACTAGAAAGTAAATGGGTTGTTTGTGGACTTGAAGCATCTAGAGGAGTGACTATTCCTGAACTAGCCATAAAAACAATGACCATTTCATTGTACGTTATAGGCAATTGCTCATAGAAAATAGGAAGCAGGAAGAAACAAATAGTTTCTTAGTGGATATTGATTTATAGATAGACAACAGCTTTGGGATTCACACTCATCTATGATAATTCTATTACAGACTTAGTATGTCTGTGGGTATAAGAATTTTGATCTTGCTCTTCCTTTGGTTTATAGGTTACAACATTGGCTGGTAGTTAGGCTCTCTAAGGATAGACGTGCTAACATGTACAGAAATATATCATAGAACTGGAAATGATGTTTTAGTGAATAACCTATTTAAAAAGAACTTGGCATTATTTTCGGTTTTTAATGTAAGGATTTTAATTAAAGGCTAATTAGGGTCTATATGTTCAAATTAAAGATAGTTTATCTTCCTCTATAGGTTGGGTTTATCAGCCTCGTCCAGGGAAGCGAAAACGCTTCCCGCTAAGTGTTTCCAATGTATTTTCTGGTACCACACAGAATATCATCTCTACAAATCCTACAACAATTTATCCTTATCGTTCACCTACCTACTCTGTGGTAATTCCCAGCCTACAGAACACCATCACTCATCCAGTTGGTGAGTTAGTTTCATTGCAGATTACTGTTTTTTTTTTTTTTAATAGCTGTATGAAAACTTTACCTCTTAACTTGAGATTTTATTTCTGTTAACCTAAAAATTTAAAAAAACAATATTAAGAAAAAGAAGAAAAAAGTGAATACATTGGAGAAGAGAAGGGGAAAATGAAGTGGACTTCAAAGATCTGGGTTTGCCAGAGTAGCAAATATTCCATGAGTAAAACCTCAGACCTTTTAAGCAAATCAGATGAGCCCATAAGCTAGGCAGGAAATGGCTGAAATAGTTCAATAGGAGTAGGAGTGTCTTTGCGCTATCATCATTTAAGAATGCTTGGCTAATGGAGTAAAAGGCATTGTGTCCTGGGACTTGGTAATAATGACTGATATGTCAAGAACCTTTTCTCTCACTGCTCTAGAAAACAATGGAAATAATCCACTTCTTATTCAATGTTTTGCTTTTGTTCATTATATTTTCTTTCCCTAATTTCCTCCTCTATTCTCATTCCTATATAGTACCTTCCTGTCTGCTCCTTTTAATAGCCCAAAATTGAGAACCTGATGTCCTCATAATCTGTTACAGAGCTATTCATCTATTTATTCTTTTAGAACCTGTTTTTAACCATCCTGGATGTAAAACCTTTTCCATTGACCACTTGCTCTTTCCAGTTTCTACTTGCTCATATATTTCAAGAAATAAAGTAACTACTATGTGCTGAACGGTTTAGGTAGCTCAAAAATTGACTTACTAAAATCTTATGCATTTTCAGTGCTTTCTTTAAGAAAATTTGAAGAAATTTATCTTTTCAAGAAAATAAGTTGTACACGTTTGTTTAATAATTACCATGCCCTCCTTTGTTATTTATTATTCCTGCTTTTAAAATCTGTTTTCTGTCACAATATTTTTTTTTGGTAAATTCTTTTTCTTTTATTTTTTTAAATTAATATAATAGTTTATTTTTACATCATTTTGTGCCTTTTCCATTTCAGTTGTAAGCCCTTTGGGCTTCCCATCACCAGATCACCCGTGTGCCATCACCATAGTCCAATCTCTCACAATATTTTTATAGCTGTGATCTATGGATTTGAATGAAAGGGCTTTTTAAATTATTCATATTTTAATTTTATTTTTAATTTTAAAAATATTTTCTTAAAGATTTATTTATTTATACATATAGAACTGGGGTACAGTCCAGAGGTGTGGTGGGTGAGAGGATTCACCAGACAGACTAGGGGGCAGAACAGGCAGTGTACTGAAATACACTGCTGAGGGGAGCAGGGAGCGTGGGTCAGGAGAGATCTGCTGTGTCATGTGGGTCAGCTCCCTGGCTGGGAATCGAACTCGTGTTAAGGTGGCTTCTGGGAGCTTCATAGTGCAGTGCCTAACCCATTGCACCACCAGGGAAAGCCCAGTATTTATTTTTATGTATGCATACAAGAACTGGGGTATAGGCAAGAGATGCTGGAAGTGAGAATTCACCAGAGTGGGGAGCAGAATAGGTGGATCTGTAAAAATTTGTTTCTAACAAATTTATCATTATTCTTACTTGAAACTGTTGACATTTTGTATAATGTATTAATTTTATGTAATTCTGAAAAATATATGGGTGAATAGAAACTGGAATATTTTCTTCTAACATTGGTAATTGCTTGCATCCATGATGTTGTCTTTACATAGCTCAGGCAGAATTACAAGGAAATATTTGAGAACCATATACAATAGTAATCAAATCTAAGGGAAAATAATGATCTTTGGTTTGTTTGCTTTTTGCTTTTCTTACCAATACTTGGGGGATGCATAATGTTAGTAATGATTCCTTTTTTGGATCTCAAATGATAAGTAAAGGTAATTATCCTATAAGCATAACTTGGGAGTTGTTTCTCTTAGTAGCTAAAGATATTTACCTGCCTGCTATCCTGCCAATCATATAGCTTTGAAATACATTCTTTTATTCTCATCAGCTAGTCATTATGTAACTTGCAAATTTGGAACTTTCATGGTTCTTACTCTACATCATGTATAAAACCATTAAATAAAAGGAAATTAATAAGAAATTATAGTGCAGATCTGTAAGCGGTGGGAAGAGATCATATTTTCAATCTCTTATCCATAGATATGACTTTTTATACTTTTAAAATTTTTCATTTTTATGTTATATTCTAAATATAAAGTCATGGTAATTTTATGTTTCAAATTGATTTGGTACATTCCCTTGCAGAAAGATATCAAGTTAGTGAGGTACAATTTATCTTATATAGGTACTGTTTGCAATTTTGTATGCTTTGTGTATTAATATGCTGTGTGTGTATGTGTATGTTCTGACTCCAAAAATGCTCTGACAGAGAAACCTTTCCTATCCACATTATCTAGTATCTTCATAGTTCTTTGAGTTCTACAGTTCTTAGGTGAATGCCCCCTGAAATCTAGTTCTATTCATTTTTTTATTTGTATTAGAACACCTATTACCTTGCTATTAGACTGCAGTTGATCTGGTATTTTAAACTTCCTGCTGTGAACATGAACTGGAACCGGGAAATCTTAAGGTCTTCTTTAGTCAGGAGTAGTTTACTGAGTATCTGTTTCTTCCTTTCGGATGTCTTTTCTTCTTTTCTACTGTAGTGACTGCTCCACTGATACTCTTCTTTTGTAAAAGCATTTCAAGAGTATTGATTTTAAGGTTCCTCAGTTGACTGCAATTTTCCTTCAGAAATGCCAGCATTTTTATTTGCATATGGCTCCCACACTTAAGCCTCTCCATTTTACACATTTAGGCAAACTTGGGCATCATTTTAAAAAGATGTCTTTCTTTTTTACTTGATCCTTTAGTCATTAGAACTTTCTAATTTTGAGACACATTTTTTCTTTTTTAGCCTTAAAGTATAAAATAGCCTTCACTTTCCTTTTAAGATGTATTTATTTATGCATTCAAGAACTAGGGTGCAGACCAGAGGTATGGGTTGTGGGGGCAGTGAGATGATTCACCAGAGACAGAACTGGGAGCAGAACAGGCAGATTGTCTGAAATACACTGCTGAAGAAAACAGCAGGTGAGACTGGAGAGGTCTGCTGCTCCAGGTGAGTAACCTCCCTGGGGATCAAACTCTTACTGCAGTGATTGTAGATAGCTTCTTAGTGCTGTGCTTTAAACCCTTGCACAACCAGGTTTTAAATAATCTTCACTTTTTTTTCTTTTAATTTCACATATCCCTATCAGCCTTTTATTTTTTTCGAACCAAGATCTGAATTTCTAAATACCCAATGACTCAAGGATGGCTTTCTTTGATCTTTTTTTTTTTTTTAAAGATTCATTTATTTGTGCATACAGAACAGGGGTACAGGCCAGAGATGCAGGGGCAGTGAGAGGCTTCACCAGAGGCAGAGTGGGGAACAGAACAGGCAGATCGACGAAGTACACTGCTGAGGGGAGCAGCAGGCGGGTCAGGAGAGGTCTGCCACGCCATGTGGTCACCTCCGGGGCAGGCGGGAATCGAACTCATGCGGAAGCAGCTTTAGCTTCTTAGTGCTGTGCTTTAACCCGCTGTGCCACCAGGGAGGGCCTCCTTGATCTTTTTTTATTAGGACATTAAATATGTGGTGATCATTGCTGCCTAGTATTTCACATGCAAATCATGCATTTTCTAGTAACTGATGTCTATTATTTGCTTCCTAGTGGTGCTGCTTTTGTTGTGTTGTGTATTCTACTTAACCTGTTGGTTGCATCATTTGCCCTATACCAGATTTGCCCCAGCTAATTTTATCCAATAAAGTCAACTACTTGAAGCCTGGCAGTATAAGTTTTTGGTGTTCTGACTTGTTTTTGGTGAATGTTTCATCTCAGATGTCTCCTCAGTCTTTAGTGAATTCCAGTGCCACATTTGCATTCCTGTTTCATTATCTAAGTGATGATTGTAACTGCTGATTATGGATCACACTGTCTGGGGTACAAAATACAAACATATTTATATAGTCTCCATTATTAAAGAGTTCATAAAATAACTGTGAAAGGAGAGATATAAATACTACTATTTTTACTTTTTGATAGGATCATTTAGAACCTATCTTATCTAGGATTACTTTATGGCCAGTTATGCCATATCTTGATATCTTCTCCTGTGTCTGAAAGTGCTAATGGCATCACAGCCCAGAATTTTCTTCAAATACCTTTTTAAAAATCAAATGTCTTTCATGCCAGTTATGCCAGCATTGTCATTTTCTAAAGTATTTATATTTGTTTATTTTAAAGGGCTCTGGAACTTTGATACAAGATATACTTATTTTAGCCTGTCTACATATAATGGTTTCGGAGGAGACATTTTCTTTTATTTTAGTTCTCAAGTCTGAAATTGATTTTCCTTACTATCCTAGTATAGCAACATCTCTCATTCTTCTGAATGGATTTTTAAAAAATACTGAGTTTTAAAAGCACTACTATTACACATATTTTTATTAGACATAATATCATTTTGGTCTGTCTACCTTAGCCAAAACACAGGAAAAATCCTCCAACATTCTCATACTGTTATAATTTCCCTACCTCCACTGCCTAAAAATCCATTCCAACAAAATTTAGGTCCATAATAAACACAGATCTGGCTTGAAAACTCCTTGAAAGGTGATGGAGCTTTTTATCTTAAGGTTTTTCAAGGGAGGAATCACAGGGTTCAACTAAACTGAGTCTCATTAGAATAACACAGAACAGTTCATGCTCCCAAAGTCCCAGTTCTTTTATTATTATTTTTTTATTATTGTGGTGAGGGAGGTGGCAGACATATAAGTAAAAGCAAAGATTTCGTAAGTGACAGATGTACAAGTTCTTAGAGAAAACAGAGTAGGGAAAGCACTTTTGCTTGATTCAGGAAAGGCCTGACTGTGGCCTGTGCCTCAGAAATGGGTGGCCTAGTCCACAGAAGCCCATCCACTGAGGATCAGGACCGCTCCATTGACATCCTCTCCAGGTCAGAGGTCGTCTTGAAACAGGGTATATCCATTAATTTCTCTGTGAGCTTAAGGGAGGCTTTGTCTACCTTATCTAGAGGAAAGGAAGGAAAAGTCATTCCTGAGCAAGACTAACTGAAGACCCACCTTTCTTCAGCTTCCGGTGGTAGCTTGTTCTTGTGCTGCATCCCCTTTACTAACAGAGACCTAACTGCACTGGAATAAATTAGATCATGAATCCATTGCTCTCTGTATTTCTTTGGAAAAGATTAGTTTAGCTTAGACTAGATGTGTCATTTACCTGAAGCCCTCTCTTCTTCAGAAATAGACCAAGTAAGTGGCTATTGACCAACTTTTAACAGTTCTGCCATATTATTCATGTGCTCCGGGATGATGTGCCTTTCATGCTTGTCACATGATGTTGACATCTTAGCATCAGGTCCTACTGTCCTTTGGGAATTGCTTTTGTATTTACATTGAAAACAATATGATGAAAATAGTTTACTAATTGTTTCTTTAGTTTTTTTTTTTTTTTAATATTTATTTATTTATTTGTGCATACAGAACAGGGGTACAGGCCAGAGATGCAGGGGCAGTGAGAGGCTTCACCAGAGGCAGAGTGGGGAACAGAACAGGCAGATCAACGAAGTACACTGCTGAGGGGAGCAGCGGGCGGGTCAGGAGAGGTCTGCCACACCATGTGGTCACCTCCCGGGCAGGCGGGAATCGAACTCATGCGGAAGCAGCTTTAGCTTCTTAGTGCTGTGCTTTAACCCGCTGTGCCACCAGGGAGGGCCTCTTTAGTTTTTTTTTAAATTAAAAGTTAATAATTTATAACTTATAAATGTATAATTTAGTTAACATAGTGAAAGACAAGTGACCATATCACTATCCTAAGGTATCTATTAATATTTTAAAAATTAATATATTTTGAAAAAATAAAATAGGCATATAATGAAAGGCTGCTAGCTTTTCCCATAGCCTCCTGTCCCTGCTCCTCTCTTTAAATGTAAGCACTGTCAATAATGTATTATTTCTTTTAGAAACATTATATATATACATGTGTATACATTTGTGTATATATGTATATTATATACACATCAGCATTTGTGTATATTCACTTTTACTCAATCACTCATTTTATTCATTTTCATCCAAAAATATTTGTCAAGAGCTTATTATGTTCCAGGTAGAATTTTGAGCTCTGGTTATATCAGCAGTGAATAAAATAGAAAAGGTCTTTCCTCTGTGTCACTTTGAATCGAGGTGGGAAAGAAAAACTTGAGTAGGAAAGGTGGTCAGTGAAGACATTCAGTTGCAGTTTATTAAATGTTACTGATGAAAAGCCGGAGTGACACAATGAATGCCTGAATGTGCTATTTTATTTCTAAAGGTGAAGCCCCACCTGCCATCCAGCTGCCCACACCTGCAGTCCAGCGCCCAAGCCCCATCACTCTTTTCCAGCCCAGCGTCACTAGTGCTGCGCAAGTGACCAGCCCGGCTCCAAGTCTGCCCCTTCGCCCCGCACTCCCACCCCAGCACTTTGCCGGGCCGACCCAATCGGACAATCACCGGCTACATTCTGGAGCCAGTCGTTCAGTAAAAAGACCCACACCAGTCTCTCTGGAGAGCACCAACAGGATTCCAACCAGTGCAAGCACTGCCCACGCCAGATTCGCCACCTCCACCATCCAACCTCCCAAGGAGTACCCCAGCGTCTCCACTTGTTCCCGAAGTGCTCCAATGACCCAGGCTCCTCCCATTCCACACTCGCACGTCTACCAGCCCCCTCCCCTTGGCCATCCAGCCACGTTGTTTGGGACGCCACCTCGATTTTCTTTTCATCATCCTTACTTCTTACCTGGACCTCACTACTTCCCATCAAGGTAAGTGACCAACATTTTTATTTTTACCGAAAATAGATACAGCTACTGAATTTTTGTTTATTTACTTCTTGTTGCTGAAAAATTGACTTCCATAATTCTGTTTGGAATCTTAATTAGATCAGAAGCTAAGTAGGCGTCAATCATAGAGCTTTACTTGGGTGGTGGTGGGCCAAAGGAGCTCTTAGAGAGCCAAGAGAGTACAAGCTCATCTGAGAGTGAATGTTGTCAGACCAAGAGAAAATTCAGTTATAAGGAATGGGTCTTGAGATTATCTAGTTAAAATCCCTTATTTTATAGATCTTACTTCTTAGTCTTTTGTATGTATATGAATCATGTGTGATGTTAAAATGCAGGCTCTCAGTCAGTAGGTCTGGGATGTTAAAATCCTGATAGTCTTCATTTCAAACCTGTTCCTGAGTAGTGCCAATTCTGCTGGTTTGTGGGCCACTCTGAACAGCAAGAGTATAGAAGAGAGCAGTTGCTTTGAGAGGTTAAATAAATGACTTGCCTAAAGTTATAGTTGCTCTCAGTGCTCTTTTCAACAAAAGGAAACATTTTCTATACAAAGCACCAAATAAATTGATTTTCATAGAGAAGTATCTTTGGAAAACAAATGTGTAACTTTTTGTTTTGGAGTGATGAGATTTAACTCCCTTGCAAGCATTCTGATAGAGTGGTATTAAACCTGGATTTGTCAGTTCTAAGTACAATGGTTTCTATTGTGTTGGTTTCTATTGGGTAACAAGTCTTAACACCAATTGTCTGCTGTCACTTGTTTAGAAAGTTTTACTTATCAATACCTTAGAGGAAAACACTTTATTATGGGATTGCTTGCTTCCCAGTCTTCAGCCTGGGACTGGAAGAAAGGGGAACTAGGAGGTCAAGTGAGGAGAAAGTGAAAACTTCATATTTGGACTTTGTTTTGTTTTCCCCTGGAGGTTCTTTTTCCCTTTCTTTGGCAGCTTTCACATGTGTTTTAGTTTAAGGAATCAAACCTCAAGAGCATCCTAAAACTAAAGGTTGAGAATCTTCTTCATAACTGCTGTTGACTAGGATCTGGGATTTTATGAAATTTTACAATGGTTTCTTAGTTATCAGAGAGTGCTAAGGACATAAATGGAATTTACTATGTGAGTAGTTTTAAGATGATAACTGTTAGAAACTTAAGGCCCACAAATTATAACTATGCAAATATTATGCAATTTGTTTAGGAACACCAAGAGTCTAAACAATATTTACTCATAGGAAAGGATAAAAGGAGGCAACTAGTCTGTGACCCATTCTGCTTGTTACTAATTTTTGTTTTTCTTTCTAGCATTTTGAGAGTAGCATTTTTATAAGTAGTGCTCACAACAATCCTGTGTCTTGGGTATATAACTTGCCTACTTTTTCAGATAAAGCAATTGAGTAGATGTTGAATAGCTATATTAAGGCCACAAAGCTAGTAATGACAAAGCCAGTAGTCAATTTAGGCCTATATGTCTGACTTTGAATTCTGTATTTGTTTTCTTCAATATGTAAGTCAGAACTCTCAGTGTAATGACTTCTTTTGATTGGCAGCTGTTATTGCTAACGGAGAATCATATGGAAAATTGGTATTTTTGAATACTAAATAATGTAGTCAGGTCCACTTTGGGCTAGTAACATTTCCTTATAAATAGATACAATACTAGGAAGTTAATCTTCTTTACCTGTCACTGGGCTTATAGGATTTTACTTTAAATGTATGAATCATCTGATAATTTAAAGAACAATTTTCAAAGGGAGCTCTGGAAAGTGACTTCTTAGAAAACATCAATATACCATTTCTTTAGTAACATTATTGCTAATTGATAATAATGCTAACTGAGCAATCAAATGAGTTAATAATACAATTTGGATTTTTATTTCATTTAAGGAAGTCAGAGCAGTATTCAGCTGTATGTATTAGGCTGCATATAATGTTACAAAACAGAAGCCCAGCCTTACACATTATATTAATTGCTTTTCTAACTTCTACAAGTGTGTGTTTGACAATTTCCCCAAGGAAATGGATACTCTTACTTATGCTTGTTGAGATAGGTTATCTTAGTAAAATTCAGCCAGTCTAAATAAATAACAAAATTAATTCCTTCTCATTTTTCCTATTGAAGAATCTATAGAATCTGATCTTCAAAAGAAGAATCATCCAACCATTTTAATACCATCATTGTGATGACAATATATAACTCAAATATGCCAACTTGATATGATATCTATGATATGAAGAGCCTATGATTATATATATGTATGCATGTACATATATGTATGCATGTATACATATACTCATGCCAGTCCCATTTTGTCTTGTGTATCTGGGGTAAAAGTCAAAGTGGTTAGGTGGTTTAATCAAGGAGTCATTTTATGGAACATATGGACCCTTAAAACTATTGATTCCTAGCTCTGAGGGCTAACATTCCTGCATTCAAATCTTAACCATCTTTATGCTGTGCTAATTGAAACATTCTCCTTTTATGCTACATTAATTTCTTAGTCTAGTTCTTCACTTCCCTACCCATTTGCCTTCCTCTTTCTTGCAAAAGAGAAAAATATAGGATCTTGTGCTTTTGGTCATTGGGTCAATATATGTATTTTAATGTCTGCTGCAATTGGGGATATACTGGATATGACAGACAAAATCACAGGGGATTTATTAGTTTGAAATATTCAGATCATATAAATATTTGATTACAGGTAAGTAGGGGAAAGTAACTTCAAGGAGTTCCTTTGTGGGATTATAAAATCTTAGGCAAGGAGATCAAAGATTAAAGCAATTATCCTTTACCTTTATCTGAGTTAGAGATCTATTTAAGATATGATTGAAGTTATGGCATCATTTCACATAATAATGCGCATGTATATACATAAGCAATCTTTTGCGCTACGTTAGGGAGGAGGAAACTTAATAGTTCCAAAACATTATAGTTTTAGCTATCAAGTAATAACCTTCTGATGTGCTATCTAGAAATATTGATTTTAAATATGAACAATTTAATACTTAGCTGATTCTACCAAATGGAAAATTAATCCTCCTGTGCCAAAATGACCAAAAGCTGAAGACTAGTAAAATGGTACTGGAAGTGGTTTTCAGATTAAAATATGTCTCAACACGGGCCTCCCTGATGGCCTATCAGTTAAATCTCAGCACTATCATCTCTGCTGCCTGAGTTCCATATCAGGACAGGGAGCTAACCCACAGCAGACCTCTCCTGTCTTGCTGGCTGCTCCCCTCAGCAGTGTATTTCAGTCAGTCTGCCTGTTTTTCTCCCCATTCTTCTCTAGTGAATCTTCTCATTCCCCACACCTCTGGTCTGCTGCCCAGTTCTTCTGTGCAAAAATAAATAAATATTTTTAAAAATGTTTCAACATTTATAAATTGTGTTTTTACACAAGGAGAGGCAATAAGGTCTTGACGCTGATCAACTCAAATTGTTGAAACTAAAGTTCTGATAAGGCCAGAAATCTGGAAGAGCTTTTCAAGTTTGGTAAAAGGAATGGGAAATTTTTATCACTGACTCAGAGAAAGCACAAAGAAAAAAAAAATTTTTTTTTTGTACCCAGGGCTCCCTAACAAAGAAAAAAGTCTTCTGTTAAAAATCAAAACACCAAATTGTACTGTACATAAGTTCAGAATCTAAAATCACCCTATGCATTTGACACACTGAGAAATTAGCATACAAATAAATTCTATAGTGATATAGCTGGAGCACTTGTCCTAAGGAACATGTCCACCATATAGACCACTTAGCATTTTTCAAAGGGGGAAAATTGTCGTTAAAGATAAGCTTTAAACAAATTATAGAAAGTGAGGAAAGGACTCATTAAGAACAAAAGGCAGTAGACCTAATAATAATAAGAGTAACATCCCCAGCCAGTGAGAACTAATAGGAACTGGATATACCCTCAATGAAAACAGTAAAAAAAAATTTTTTTGAATACATGATATTTAAGATAATGTTCATTATGCATGAAGGATAGAATTATGAAGCAAATGAGATAAATCTTTTAGTATTCTCAGTTTACTAGCCTATTAGCCTTGGGACAAGAAGAAACAACCAGATTTTATCAGTCTCCCCAACTTGAGAGGAAACTGGGAATCCAGTGAAAGCAAGCACCTATATTTCTCAAGATAGAATATGGAGAGAAGAAAGCTAAGAAGAGCAAGATCTCCAGCAGGTGCATAGACACCTTCTAGAATATTCAGCTAAATATTCATCAGTGTATTCTTGTGAGGAAAACAACTCATAGTTGTTAAAAGAGTCTCCAGAAAGATCAGAGATAGCAGTGACTGGGACTAGGGATAGTGCTTGTTCCCACCAACTATATTATAGAAAACCTTGATGTAAGGTATTGAATACTCAGAAGGGTCTTATTTGAACCAACTCTAAACTACATGTTGCTATAATTCCATCTAAACATACTAAAATCAAGACCTAAAATGATCAAATTGTTTTCAGTCATCTATGTCCAGAAAATTAGCTCAAGAATATTAATAGAATTAATATGATTAACAAGATAAATAACAGGGAGTTCTGTTACTGAATGCTGGCCTCAGTTTCCCTCAGCCAATAAAAAGAAACAGTTTGAGGAAAAGGAACGTGGTTTAATGTGTCGACAAAGGGGAAGGGAGCAGACTCATGTCTGAAAGACCACTGTCCAGCTCTTTAGCAGGCTACAGGGCTGTTTGTAAAAAGGGAAATAAAAGGGGGAAGATGGGCAAGGGACTGCCAAGAGGAGGGTGAAGGGGTCAGCACAGAGATGGAGACAGATAGGCACCAGCTTGCTTTTTTCAACTGTTAACTCCCTTTTCCTTGGAATGCAAGACAAACCTGCAAACAAGGGGGGTGGGGTGGATTGCAAGAGTAGGGAAAGGACAAACTTGTTAATGCTTACCTGAGAGACTGGTCATGAAGAAGCCAAAGCTATCAAAGGGGCAGTTGCAAGAAATAGGGGAAAGACAAATTTGTTAATGCTTATCTGAG